ACCGCGCGCGTACTGAATAGTGGTGTTGTCGCGCGAGTTCTTATCAGCTGTGTTGTCGCGCGCGTAGTGAATAGTGGTGTTGTCGCGCGAGTTCTCATCAGCTGTGTTGTCGCGCGCGTAACTTACTGTAAAGCGGGGACGGAGGGTATGTCGCGTCGCGGGGGCACTTTTGATCATTTTGGAAGGGAACTTTCTATCCAAGACTAAAAAGGGCATGTGCACTGCACAGGTTGAGCACTGTGTGTGCACGTGCCTGCAAGTTGGGGAATAGGACTAATAATCAGTCATGGGGACTGCAGAAACACAGCACACTGTTCAGATTGATGCAGACATGAGATCTCTATCTCACTTATGGTTTGTCTTCTCAAGTGGGGGAAAGACAATGCACAACGTTACCCACTGCTGTCAACCTGGGCCAAGTCATATCTCTCTTGTCCCAGAAACCTCAGTTCCAAATGAGAGGGTTTTTTTGTTGCAGGGGACATTGTAAATACCCAGAGATACCAGCTTTTACCAGATTATATTTATATGATAATTTTCCTTTAAACCCATCTCTGTCTAAGTGAGTGAGAGAGTGATTAAATGTTGAATGTGATGAGTTTTCAACACTACTAAATTGAAACTTAATTTTTTTACATGGTTTAATTTTTTTTTTTTTTTATTAAAATTGAAGTTCCTGTTTCAAAGCTTACAGATAGATGGCTAATTTGTATGTCATTGACATTTTTGGCACTTTTTCGGAGTATTTTCATAAGTTTTGTTTTTTCCTGTAAATGATTCAATAAATACCGTAAAGTTACATTCATACCGAGGTATTACCGTACCGTGAAATTCTGATACCGTTACATCACTAATATATATATATATATATATATATATATAAGGGGGGCTAATAATTCTGACTTCAACTGTATATATTGGGGAAAAAACTGCTTTTGTAAAATAAATAAAACAAGTGATGTACTTTCTGCCATCTTTGTAGATTTTCTTGACACAACAAAGATGACAAAGAAAAAACAAGGTTAGCATTTAGATACATTTATTTCAAAACTAAAACCGCCAGTATATGAAGTCAAGTCTCCGTCACTGAATGATTCATTTAATTAAGTTGTATGAACAGCTGATTCATTCACAAATGTCTTTCTGAATGGACGACTGAATCATTGTCTCATATCAAAGCTCAAGATTCATTTATAAACAAAACAGAGATGTACAGCGTTTGAGCTGTTTAGAAGCATCTTCCAAACAAAGCAACATTTAGACAACAGTGATCATAAAAATGCATCATCGTTTGCGTTTTGATTTTAGGGATAATAATAGCGGTTCATTTTAGAAACGGGGAACCTAGAATCTGCTGTAACTTAGATATTTGCGGTGTTAGAAGCTTCAGTCGCTAAAGTAATTGTTAGCAAGCCCTGTTAACTGTGTTTTATAGTGAAAATAGAATAGCTTAAGTTACATCCACGCCAAGCCGCCTAAAATGTTCTGAAATACAGTTATGCATGGCAGGCACAGCATACATATATAATATTAAACCACTGAATATCATACCTCGGTTCTCTTTTTATAAAAGAATTAAAAAAGTTTTGTCTAAACTGCTCTCTTGGACATTTTGAAAATTGCAAGAAATGATGTAATGCACTGTATTGCGCTTGTGCGTGACGCCTTAAGATATTGAGCTCTAAAGTCATAGATTACCATAAATAGAGAATTTTAATATTTAATTTGCATTACAAGTTTTACATTATACACACTCTTGTTAATCTGAAGGGGATAGTAAGGGGGGATGGTGGTTTTACAAAAGGGGATGCTTTATGTTATTTTTTCCATTATGGAGATGCCATTCCTCCACATCCCCCCTCAATTAGCCTGTTACCACTCCCTATTACTTGTCCGGTAACCTGTTGTCTACATCACAAGTCCCATACAGGCATGTTTAAATTCACCTATGTTAATCTACTTAATCCACTTCAGGATTATTTTAATGCACAAAATGGCAGACAGCAATGGGGAGCCTATTACATCAGCATTATGACTGGTCAGATAATCTGTCAATCAAACTTTTGCCGAATGGTAAACATAATGTACAAATGCTGTTTGAACTGTGTTGGGTGGCAACTGCATATTTACTAGTAATTCAAAGAATTAAATATTAGCTTACCTGATTGGATGAGAGTCAGGGTCATATCCTCTGATTGTGGCAATAACTCGTCCTGGCTCCTCCCCTTCTCTGACAGTGACCTCATAGTGGCTTTGGGACAAAACAGGACCTTCGTTGATGTCATCAATGAAAATGGTGACAGTGGCGGTGGATGCAGGTCCGTATCTGCCCCGCACCAGAGCGACAGGGTTCTGAGCGCTGAGCACCAGTATATACTCATTCTCACGCTCAAAGTCCAGCACCTACAACACAAGAAACCAATGGACACACTGTTAATACAGTTCTGTTTTTTTCTCATCCATGAAGGGCTGTTTCTAATGAAAATAAAGCCTCTTTTTTGACTCCCAAAATGCATAACAAAAGAACAAAGAGCAATGATCTGACTTTCACAGGCAGTTCTCTCAATAATCTGTTCCAGCACACTGTAGTCAAGGACAAAATCACACTGTATGATTGTGTCTCTCGCTAGTCATCACAACGTGTCAACCTGCATTTCTAAAGGTAAAAATAGTTCAAATCATATTCTGAGTGACCCATTGTGCGCTCTGATGTCGTTCATTATACTGAAGATATATCTTTGGATGCGTACATCTTTGCTGACGTCATTCTGACTATAAGTCATACATTGGGCTGTCTTCCAGGAAAACATGGATATAAGACGAAAGGTAACAGAATGAGTTTAAATGTGGATCTGGGACAGGGTCATGATGACATGTCATTACTCATCATGTCAAAACACTCTGTCCACAACAGTCCATTTCTTTTCATTTATATTTCCTATTTAACTTAACTGTCAACTATTCACCAGTAAGGATGTTTGATAAAAAATCATCAGCAACCACAACAACAATGAAAATCTTACTAAGACGGAAAACAAATGATCATGTCAACTGTGATGGTACAAATGCAGTGCTTCCTACAGGTTTGAAGTATACTTGTGGTGGTAGCTGGATTAAAACACCATTTACCCACATCACATAAATAGTAAACTATATGCAACAAAACAAAACATAATTTTATTCTTAATAATTATTGTATTTATTATGACATGTTATTATAATGGTTCTTTTTAATGGCTTAAAAGTAAAAAAAAAAGACTTAAAGAAGTAGATTTATGCTATTCAGGAGCAATACTGACCTATACTGACAGGGAAAATCCACTTCTTTCTCTCTTTCAATTTCAAAGCAAACTTGAATGCCAAAGCGTTTTAGATATGTATATAAAATAGCCTATATAATATATCAACATCATCAAAGCAATAAAATAATTAGCAAATGAGAAATAAATGACAGAAAAAGGAATAAAATCAGACAATATCTCTAAATAAATTATCATAATTGTAAGATCAAAACAAGTAGATTTTTAAGGCAAATGTGTAGATTAACCATTACTATTGGTGTACATATATTTTGCAGCCGGTTTAGATTTCATTTTGTCCTCTTCGAATGTACACTCAAAAACAAAGGTACAGGAGCTGTCATTGGTGCAGTACCTTTTCAAAATACACATATTTGTACCCAAAATGTCCACAGTAGAACCTCATAGGTATATATAAGAGCCCAAATGTACCTAAAAAAGTACCTTTGAGGTACTATTTTGGACCCTTCCGGTACAAATATGTACCTTTTACTGACAGTGTATAGTAAAGTTTTTCTGAGTAGTTTAGAATAATTAATCGATTATTATTAACTTTTTTCTCTCTGTATCACAGCTGTTTGTGCGCTGTCAGCTGTGAAACCAGGCAGAAAGTAGTCTTTCATAAAAGAGTAATGCAAACATTCATACAAGCTTTAGAAAGCGAAAGCAAACGTTGAATTCCGGACATTTTAGAACAGTGGTTCTCAAACTGTGGTACGTGTACCATTAGTGGTACGCAGGCTTCCTTCTAATGGTACACGGAGGAATGAAATGTGTCATGTACATGCTACATATATTTCAAAATGGATTAAAAATGATGTATATAATATGCCATATGTGATATATAGCCTAAATTTCTGAGGTAATCTGTCAGGTTTTTTAACTGTGCAGAGCTGTAGCTGCTTTACTGGGCCTTCTTTGCTACTGTATTTCAACACTGCTCATTTTGGTTATACTTGGAGAAACATTTTTTTTCTAAGGTGGTACTTGAAGAAAAATGTTTGAGAACTACTGTTTTAGAAGATTTTGAAATCCGAACCGTTTAAGTTTTTAAGTCCCAAAAATTCACGTCTCTGCGGGTCTAAGGATCATGTGAAACTGCACAATTGTTGACAGGTCTCCCAGGCACAGAATGAAACTGGTGAATGAGAGAAGATTTTCTACTACATAATTGATTGTGGATGTTTGTTTTTTTGAGAGGATACAAAAAGTGTAAAAAGATGTTATTAATAGTTAAAAAAAAAAAAAAAAAAAAGTGTTACTTAATATATGGGTGGCGGTTAATATACCTGGGCAGCCCAGCCAAGTAATAATAACGATAACATGTATCCACAAGATATTCACACCACAGTAGCACTCTTGCATTGACTTGGTAACCAAGCGTTGTATGAGAGTTTGGCTCTGACTTATATAGCCTAAACTCCCGCCCGATTGTGGGCTATGCCATTCAAAGGTAAGCATTAAATTTGACAAATACACAAACATTAAAAAACTTAACATAATCCACACTTCACATTGAACACATAAAGACAATCAATCCCTAATATATAATTGAAAACAAAATATAAACTTTCCAAATATAAATAACTACATAATACACACTTCATAAACAAAAAACACCTATTCACAAACATAATGGTTTCGTCAGCTTCCGATCGCAGTGTGCATGCGCACACAATCCCATGCATTCTTCTACCGGCATTTCCAATTTGCTCGGTTTGACCGATCGCGACCGGAAGCCTGACTACCCATACACAGACAAACACCAAACGGAAAAGACAACACAACAGGTGAAGTGGAGTTGTATAAAATGCCTATGAATGACTTATGCATTGCGGAGAGTGGATTTATAAAATATGTCCATGTGGGTCTGTGAGTATGTCTACTTGTCAGCGCGTCTGTCTGTCTGTGTGTGTGTTTGCAAGTATGTGTGTGCGTGAGAATGTGTGTGTGTGTAACTGCCAGTGCTACTTTCCCAACGGTGACAGTTAATGCGACTTTATCACAATATGAATATAATTTGGTGGTTCATCCCGCTGTGGCGACCCCATATTAATAAAAGTAATAATGAATAAATAGAAAAAAAAAAAATTGAGCCAGAAATGAATAAATGAATGAATAAAATACATTGCTCTGAGTACGTTTTGTTGCAAATGACAATTGAGGGTACTTCCTATATATATGTTTTTTCCATTAGTGAATCTGAAATGTTACTTTTTATACATTTTTTGTTGTATGTTTCAGATATATGTCCTTCTTGTACACATCCAGCAGATCATCAAGACCAGCGAACCACTGACCTAAACCTGAAGCACATTTCCCCTAAACAGAGAATATAAATGAAAAAATAAGGTAAAACGAGGTGTACGTAGTACATATTTCTCTCACACTCGCTTCTGAAAACACTACTGATTGTGTTTAGGGAAGCAGTGTTCTGCCCCAGGTAAAAAAAAAAAAAGTGTACTAAAATGCACTTTATTTAAGTATACTTGGTACACTTTTCAGTACTAAAAGTGCTCTATTTTCGCACACTAATTTTGTACTTAATGTACTAAAAGATAGTATTAATATGTTAAGATAAACTTAATACCATCTAAGTGTACTCAACTGTGCTATTTTGAGACACCCTGAAATTGAACTAAAATGTGCTTTTAACATACTATATCTGCATTTAAAAATATATATTTAATTACAACTAGAAATACACTTGAACCCTACTTTTAAAAATTTAGAAATATATTTAAGAATAACTTAAAGCATAAAAGTAATATATTAAAAGAATATACAAAATGTGAAAGCAGTGTGCTAAAATACACTTTAAGTACACTAATTATACTTTTTTTAGTACTAAGTGCTCTATTTTCACACACTAATTTTGTACTTAATGTTCTAAAAGATAGTATTAAGTATATGTTAAGATAAAGTTAATACCATCTAAGTGTACTCAACTGTGCTATTTTGAGACACCATGAAATTGAACTAAAATGTGTTTTTAACATACTATATCTGTATTTTAAAAAATATATATTTAGTTACAACTAGAAATACACTTAAACCCTAATTTTAAACATTTAAATACATTTATGACTAATTTAAAGTATAATCCTTCCTTAATTCAGAATACAGTTATATTTATGCTAACACAGTCAACAAACCTATGTCATTGGATTGTTTAGACATCCTCACGTAATTGGTTAGACAAAAAATAATTAAGTAGAAGGATAAACAGTCCAGAACAATTTTAGAGTATGCAATGTAAAACATATGTTTCCTTAGATTATCATATTATTGACTACACTAGATACTCAAACATATCATCCCTTCTGCATGCCCATTCTTGGCTTTCCTGATCATTCCTTGACCTACAACACACACATACTTTAAGACAATAATGTTTTGGTAAGATTACCACACTCAAAATCAATTTAAGTGTAAGTGATAATATTGCATTCACATTAAGTGTACTTAAGTACAACTTTTGGGAAAATGTACTTCTACTACAAAACATTAGTAATGGATTTTTAATAAAGTCAATTTAATATAAACTTAAAATGACCACACTCAAAATCAATTTAAGTGTTAGTGATAATAATGCATTCATATTAAGTGTACTTAAATACAACTTTTGGGAAAATGTACTTCCACTACAATACATTACTAATAGATTTTTTATATATTAACTTATTTTAAACTTAGTATTAGTATGTAAACAGTGTACTAAAAATCAACTAATGTTTAAAGCATTTAAAACACACTTTAGAAAAACACACTAATAAAACCATTTTGGATGTTTTTTTCTGTAGTGTACTTTATTGTAGTACTAAAAATGTATTTAAGTATTACTGGTATTTAGTATACTTTTGTCAAGTGTACTAAAGTCCTACTGAAGTATAAACATACTTTAATTAGTATATTTATAGTGTAAAACCATCAAACTTGTATTTAACACAAAAAATAACAATGTACTAAAAATGTATTTGCGGGTATTTAAGTGTATTTTAATTGCATTTAATTATATTTTTTTTTTCACCTGGGGCATCACAAGTACAAGATGGTACCAAGTGAGTTACTGAGCAAACTGACCAGATATCTCATTCATTCATTTTCATTTCAGCTTAGTTCTTTTATTCCACAGCGGAATGAACCATCAATTTATCCAGCATGTGTTCTACGCAGATGATTCCCTTCCAGCTGCAACCCATCACTGGGAAACACCCATACACTCTTATTCACATACATACACTACAGACAATTTAGCTTACCCAATTAGACAATAGCGCATGTTTTTGGAGGGGAAACCGGAGCATCCGGAGGAAAACCACGCCAACACGTTGAGAACATTCAAACTCCACACAGAAATGGCAACTAACCCAGCTGAGGCTCGAACCAGTGACCTTCATGCTGTGAGGCGACAGCACTACCCTCTGCGCCACCTCGCTGTCCACCAGATATGTCCATATCCTAAATTTTTGTATATTAGCTACATATTCAATTACAAATAATAGACAGTGTTAGTTTGTTTTGTTGTATTTATTTGGTGTTCAGAGAACTGCATCAGTGATTCCACGCATCAGGTTAAATTTGTTTTCTCAGACTCCATGGTCAGTCCATTACTACTACTGTATCTGTTCAACCTAGATAATGGAACCAACCATGATTAAAGATATGTCGATATTCCAAGACGGTGGCACCCTATTTTATAAATCTATAGAAAAGCATGCCATTTACTCCAGAAAGGATACATTAATCTGGTTTGACCTATCTTTTTTTATTATTAAAGTGGAAATCGTAATGTAAGCTTGACTGACTGCTTACCTTTCACTTTAGGAGTGATAACAGAAAAAGAGGAGCAAGAATCAGGTCTGAAAAAGTTGTTTTGTGTATGTTAATGAACCAGTAATGCATTGAGGGCTTTGCATACGTTTGTTTATGATTAAGTTTACATTTAACATATGCCAGTTCTTGTTATCTTCCCTTTTTTTGAGCCATCGCATACTCTCTGCTGCTCTCTGCAATGGATTTCTAAAAGTGTTACACAATGCTCCTCATAAAATTTAGAGTTTCCTTTCCTAAACATTCATAAGTGTGTGCAGTACACCTGTCATGATGGACAAAAATGAGCCATTCTCAAATCCTCAGCCAATCACTGTATAAAAACAAACAGACTTTTTACCTCCCAATTTTTTTTTGTGAAAACATCGACCCATTGCTTTAAAAGTTTTCAAGGCAACAGGAAATTGTGTATCTAACTCTTGTTTACCCCAAAACAGGCTTTCTATTTAAGAAATATGGATCGCATATGGTCTCCAGCATTGATTGTCTAGGCTGCAAACGTGACATACTGTAATTAGTGCCTTCTAATTAAGAATACAATTCAATTGCTAATCCGGAACAACAACCAAGAGAGATTTGCAGAGTAAACAAGAACACAGATAAACACAATGGAAATCAAATGTCTCATTTGCAAGATATTATTGGTAGATATCAGATTTCCCCCTCTGTTGAAATGTCATCACCTCACAGCTTGCAGTGTGAAGAAAAGCTACTAGAACATGAATAAAAGATGTCAGAAATGAATCAAGCTGGTTGCTTGTGACATAAAGGGTGCACAGAGTCAGGGGAATCATTGACACTAATCATGCCCTTGTGCTGATCCTGCGGTGGAACAACTGCATCACCTGAAGGGAATGTAGGTCACAGTGAGGATCAGGCCTTGAGCCCTAGCCCGATGCCGCCTGTTAAAGAATGACGTAACTGTTTGTTTTAATAAAATAGCCACAAAGAATATCTATAACACTTGACTTAACTGAAAATAAACATATGACAATGTGTTAGAGCAAAAAAAGCGACATTTGCAAGGAAATAACTAGGCCTGAATGTATTTGTGATTCAAACAGATGCAAATTCCTTTCTTTCACTTGAACAGTATATGGGTTAAAGATAAGACCAGTCCCATTGTGTTGTTGTATCATATTAAATGTGATTTACACAAAAAGCATATGAAAGAAAAGTGACTATTTCAATGTTTCAAACAAGTTGTATTAATAAGATACCATGAATAGTAAGGAGACTTTATGCATGCTTATGACAACTATCAGTGAGTGTGTACTCACACAGGAACAGTTGCCTTGAACCATGCCAAAGCATGGTTGTCCCCCCTCCCCTCTCCCTCGACGGCCTGCACTCACATTGCATTTTACTTCAGAGCCAGAGCACGCCTATGTCATCGATGATGCGACTTTTCAGTTTAACAGGAAGAGAAGCGCCCTCTCTCAGCTAAGTGGACATTGCTTTAGTTATATTGTTCTGTATTATTTTTAGCCGTTTGGGATGCAGTGACACGCAGAAAAATATTTAGCAGAACAGATTCACAACTTTTGACGCTCATAAATGATCAGAAAAGTCCTTGTGCTGCAGGTATTAGGAGGTTTGCTGAAGGTGCAGCTGATGTGGAGCGAGGGAATTGCATGTTTATTAAACTATGACAGTTTGCGTTCATTGGACAGTAAGAATGAATAATACACTCACATGAAATAGTCCCTTAAAAGTGACGTCTCTTTGTGCTCACAATACAAGCATACAGCGTCAAGCCCAACCAAACTGCACTCTGGCACACCTCTTACAACTGGGCCAGGGCCGACTGACTGAACCACGCCTGGGCCCAATTTGGAGCACCCACAGTTGTCAAATGAACCGGGAAACGCACCCAGGCACAGTTCAGATAGTGTATTGTGAGTGCACCCTAAGTTTTATTCACTCAGCAAAATGACATTTTTTCATTTCTTTGTTATGGCTTGACATAAATACATTGTAAGCTGTCTGTTTCTTTGTCATGACAGCTTGACTTCACCTAGACAACATGTCATAAATCTGTCATAAACATGACTGTCATTATTAATTAATGTGTCATGTTTATTTTTCAGATCACTTTTTCCAGAGAAACAAAATGAATTTTTCATTAAAATGTCTCATTAAAAACTAAAAAATAAATATTCTGTCAATAATTCTATAACAGCATCATTAATATTTATTGACATGTTAATGACAAATTTGGGGCGTCATGGTGGCGCAGTGGGTAGCAATATCGCCTCACAGCAAGAGGGTGGCTGATTCGAGCCTCGACTGTGACAGTTAGCATTTCTGTGTGGAGTTTCTATGTTCTCCTCGTGTTTGTGTGGGTTTCCTCCGGGTGCTCCAGTTTCACCCAGAAGTCCAAAGACATGTGCTATAGGTGAATTAGGTAAGCTAAAATTGTCCATAGTGTATGTGTGTGAATGAGAGTGTATGAGTTGCAGCTGGAAGGGAATCCGCTGTGTAAAACATATGCTGGATGAGTTTGTGGCTCATTCGCTGTGGCGAACCCGATTAATAAAGGGACTAAGCTGAAAAGAATAATGACATATTCAAATTGTTGAGGTCAAGAAAATATTTGCTATACAAATCCTGTTATACAATTCATGACACAGTAATAATGGCCTCATGTTTATGACAGATTTATGACAAGTTATGTTGTCTTGATGATGTCAAACTGTCCTGACAAAGAAAAAGATTATGATGTAGTTGTTTGTACAGTTGTCATATTTGTTTGACAAGACAACATTTAAAATTATGTAACAGAGCAAATGACACTAATGACTGTTGCATTAAATTATTGGCCCCTAGCCCCCCTGAATTATTAGCCCCCCTGTTTATTTTTTCACTGATTTGTTTATTTTTTTGTTAAATGAGAGATTTTTTAAACACATTTTTAAACATAACAGTTTTAATAACTCATTTCTAATAACTGATTTATTTTATCTTTGCCATGATGACATTGAATAATATTAGACTACATATTTTTCAAGACACTTCTATACAGCTTAAAGTGACATTTAAAAGCTTAACTAGGTTAATTAGGTTAACTAGGCAGGTTAGGGTAATTAGGCAAGTTATTGTATAACAATGTTTTTTATCTACTATCGGAAAAAAAAATAGCTTAAAGGGGCTAATAATAAAACTTAAAACTATTTAAAAAAATTAAAAACTGCTTTTATTCTAGCCAAAATGAAACAAAAAAAGACTCTTCAGAAGAAAAAAAATATTATCAGACATACTGTGAAAATTTCCTTGCTCTGTTTAACATAATTTAAGGATTATTTAAAAAAAAAATAAATAAATAAAAGGGGGGCAAATAATTCTGACTTCAACTTAATATACGGTGGAAGATTTACACTCTCGTTAATGTGCTTGAAACTCCTTTTTTGCCTTTTAAACATACAGTATACATGATTTAAAACCCCTTTGATTCCAGATGTTTTGCTTGAAAGTTACTGTTTGAACTCTGTGCGGGTTGAGTGGTAACTTAACACTCCGACCTCATCATGCACTTAACTGTGCCTATAAAAATATCAGCAAGTATAAATGAAACTGTTCAGCAAAGGTAAACACTGAGATAATTATAGTAACTCAAGTGCATGAACAATCACACATTTTAGTGATTTGACGATGAGCATCTGCAATGTTCGTCCCATCCTGTAAGCACTTCACAAAACTGAATGTGGCTCACTTGGACATGTTTAGATCTTTTCTGATGGAACATAAATATCAAATCCCAGATTATAAACTTGGTAAACAAGAAGCATAACTAAATATCCCCCCACTTAAAATAGTGAAAAAAAAAACAGTTCAATAAAATCTTTCTTTTCCCACTTTCACCTCTCCTCAACAATTATACTGCATAAAGCACTTTTGAAAAGAATCTTGGTTTGATGTTTATCTCTGCATATAATGCCCTCTGCTAATACTGGCACTCCTGGACAATATAAGCAAAAAAAGCTGTGAAACCAAACTAAATTTCTTACTCCAAATTTCATAAAACTCTACTGGACACAAAAGATAATTACAACATGGGACAGGTGATTGGTTGCTGTTGTTTAATCTTCAGCATTTAAATATATAACCATAGACCACAAAACCAGTCGGTCAATTTTAGGGAAATCATCTTAAAGCTGAAGAATTAAGATCTCCATTTTTGTATGGTTTGTAAGTATCTGACAATTTTTGTCAGAGAGGCAACTATTCTGAAATCTGGAATCTATTTAATTCATCCTGTCCTAAAAATCTTATGTGCAGATACATGCAGTTTTTCAAATGCAACTTTTTGTTTATACGTTAATCAAGTTTTGTTTATTTGTCTTCATGTTCTCGTGCTACTACAAGTAATATTTTTCACAGCCTTATTTGCCCATATTTACCAAGAGTGCCAATATTACTGGCATACTACTTACTTTAATTGACTGACTGTAGTCAGGCCAAGCCAATACCTTATCAAGGATGAGAGCAGCTTCATTAGTCTGCCTGTCATTCAGTAGGGTAAAAACCTCCTCCTCATTCCCAGATTCAAGCCTGTAGTCCACCTGCCAGCTGTCTCCACCCCACTCATCCGCATCCCATGCAGACACAACAGTCACTGTGGTTCCCACCGACGAGTCCTCAGCCAGGTGGAATGGGCCGTACTGCAGAAACAGAAATATATATATTTTTTCAAAATTAGAAGATGGAGAACATTAAGTCTAACATAGTTCCTATGTATTTTTGAATATATATTATGATAGAATATATATATATATATATATATATATATATATATATATATATATATATAAACATCTCAGTTTACAGGGTAGCTCTGTCTACTGGAA